ACATATATTGCCCATTTTTTACAATCACAGGATTTAACTCCTAATTAACCTCGCTGCCTTTCTGAACCTGATCCACCTTCTTTGAATCCTTAAAAGAAAGTGGATCCAGCCACTGCAAACCAATTTGGTTTGAAAACTAATTCTGTGGTTACAGTTAAAAGCTGCATTTATCTTTTGAATTTTTTGAATAGCCACATCAAGAGGCTAACTTGCAGTCATTTTGTGCTCAACTACCATTCCAAAATCCTTCATATACTGTGAACAATCCAGGTGTTCTGATTCTATTCATAGGTATATTACTCTTTTATCTTAAGTAAAGAATTTTACATTTGTCATTTATAATTCTATTATTTTCAGCTCACTTTTCTAATCTAGGTGCTTCATTTTTGCATCATGTTTCTGATACTAATCTTCCACATTTCTGTAAAGAATTTTATCCATTCAGTCACTATTCAATTAATATTTTAAAATAACATTTTAAGTACAAAATTATTCTAAGTAGAAATGCTACAGGTATCAGCCAAGGAGTCTTAAGCAAGCTACAGCCTTACAGTTGAACAATTCTGTGCTCTTTCACAAAGTCAAACTAGGTTTTGATTGCATTGTACAAAGACCACATCACTCTGAAACCATGATGCACATCATTGCCATTACAATCCATGTTTCTAGATATACAGTATGTAGTAGTAGTAGTAGTAGTAGTAGTAGTAGTAGTAGTAATAATAATGATAATGATGATGATGATGATGGAAGGGACCTTGGAGGTCATCTAATCCAACCCCCTGCTCAGGCAGGAAACCCTATACCATTTCAGACAAACGGCTGTCCAGTCTCTTCTTAAAAACTTCCAGTGTTGGAGCATTCACCGCTTCTGGAGCCAAGTTGTTCCACTGATTAATTGTTCTAACTATCAGGAAATTTCTCCTTAGTTCTAGGTTGCTTCTCTCTTTGGTTAGTTTCCAATATTAAAAACAACTGTTTTATGGTCAGTTAGTGATTAATGGAAAGCTTTGGAGTAGATTTTGAGATATTATAGCAAAGTAACAACTCTCACAGCATGAAAATGAAAGACTAATTTTCAGCAATCTAAAGTTCTAATTATCTTAATTAGAAAGATCTGACACAAAACTTCTAAAGCAGACATGTCGAAACCCGTGACGTCACGTGACATCGCGCAACATATCAGAGCTTTTTCGCCATTGCCGGCAATGTGGTGGGCGTGGTTTCCCGATGATGCGTCCGGCCCGCGGGCCAGCAGTTTGACACCCCTATTCTAAAGTGATCTGTTTTTTACAACAGTACTTCAAAACGACAAGGTTTTATCAGAGTTTCAATAATTATAAAAGAGTCACCAAAGACTGCATGAGATTTATAGATTGCAGTTGCAGAGACTGACTCCAGTGCAGGAACATCAACTAAAATATAATGTGATCTTGTGTCTTAGATAGGGATTACTTTCCTAGCCACATGCAGCTGGTGACACTACTCTTGTGCATGACTTCCCAACTGATTGCTATGATATCCCAGTCTTCAAGAGAATTTAGAAAGAAGACAATTATTTCACCACTAAGAACCAAATTTATTCTCAATTTGAGTCTCATAGAGCACGTAACACCAATTTTGTATGAATGCTGTTTGGAATTAGAAGCATTCAAACTTCTAAGTTGGATGGATAGATAAAGAGGATGGAATCTGTAATTCAACACAGCTGAAGGACATCACATTGGGAAAAGGAGAACAAATCTACTAGAGGCACTGATTAAAATTTAGCCTTTGAAAGTGTGAAGAAATAAAGAAAAGAAGGTGCTATGAATATTTTCCTTATCACTACTACTGACAAAGATGATTTTCCAAGGAAATCCCTCTTGTGCATGAAGAATGAGGTCCTGTTCACAAAAACAACTCAATAAGAGAGACATAGAGGATATGATCGAAGGAACCAGATTTTAATCTCAGGTCCAAAGCATCTAGGACAGTGTTTCTCAACCTTGGCATCTTTAAGACATGTAAACCCCCAAAATTGCCCAGACAGACAGGTTAAGAAATACTGTATCTAGTGAATAACATTACATGCGGCTGCAGCTATTGTTTCACTGCAACTTGGGAAATTGCCCTGTTCCCTGGCTCCATCTCTACAGCTAACAGCAACCTTAACTTCATGACATTCCAAGCCACTGTTTTTAAGCTTGAATGTTCTCCCAAATCAGTAGAAATTTATGGCAGTCTTTCCCAATCTTTCTCATTCTTCGTATTAACTGTGTGCTGCAGCTGCCAAAAAGGCCAACACAGTGCTAGGCTGCATTAACAGAGAGATAGAATCAAGATCACATGAAGTATTAATACCATTTTACAATGCCTTGGTAAGGCCACACTTGGAATACTGCATCCAGTTTTGGTCACCACGATGTAAAAAAGATTTTGAGACTCTAGAAAGAGTACAGAGAAGAGCAACAAAGATGATTAGGGGACTGGAGGCTAAAACATATAAGGAACGATTGCTGGAATTGGGTATGTCTAGTTTAACAAAGAGAAGGACGAGGGGGGACATGATAGCAGTGTTCCAATATCTCAGGGGCTGCCACAAAGAAGAGAGAGTCAAGTTATTCTCCAAAGCGCCTGAAGGCAGGACAAGAAGCAATGGATGGAAACTAATCAAGGAGAGAAGCAACCTAGAACTAAGGAGAAATTTCCTGACAGTTAGAACAATTAACCAGTGGAACAACCTGCCTCCAGAAGCGGTGAATGCTCCAACACTGGAAGTTTTTAAGAAGAGACTGGACAGCCATTTGTCTGAAATGGTATAGGGCAGTGGTGTCGAACCTATGGCACAGGTGCCAGAGGCGGCACTCAAATCCCTCTCTGTGGGCACGCGCGCCATCGCCCCAGTCCTAGGCCTTCAGCTGGGTTTTATAAAATCTTTTCGCTTTAGGCCTCCACCGCCGTGTGCAAAAAAAAAAAATAGGTTCAATCAATCAGTCAATTTCAACTTCTCATGGGGAAAAATAAGATTTTGCAAAGTTGGAATTGATTGATTGAACTTTTTAGTCCCACCCAGCCTGCCGTTACCACCGCAGCCATGCCAACCCAATGGGCCACACCCAGCCAATGGGCCACACCCACCCGGCACCTGACGATGCATAAGTGGGTTTTGGGTTGCAGTTTGGGCACTCGGTCTCTAAAAGGTTCGCCATCACTGGTATAGGGTTTCCTGCCTGAGCAGGGGGTTGGACTTGATGACCTCCAAGATCTCTTCCAACTTATTATTATTATTATTATTATTATTATTATTATTATTATTATTATTATTATTGTTATTAACTGGGTTAGAAATCTCATTACAAGCTACAGAAGTCACTGTTGGGAGGGTACAATACATCCAAAGGGCAACAAGATGCCCAAAGTTATTCTACCATTGCTGCTCTCTTTTTTTTCAAAAATACCTAAGCTTTTTTCAAAGAGTACAGGTAGTCCTCGACTTTACAACCACAATTGAGTCCAACATTTCTGTGATTCAGCAAGACAGTTGTTAAGTGAGTTTTGCCCCATTTTACCACCTTTCTTGCCACAATCCTTAAGTGAATCACTGCAGTTGTTAAGTTATTAAAACGGTTGTTAAGTGAATCTGGCTTCCCCTTTGACTTTGTCAGAAGCTTGTAAAAGAGGATCACGTGACTCCAGGATGTCGCAACTGTCATAAATATGAATCAGTTGCCAAGCATGCGAATATTGATCACAGGGCCATGGGGATGCTGCAACTATCATATAAATGTGAAAAACGATCATCAATTTTTCAGTGCCATTGTAACTTTGAAGAGTCACTGAAGAAATGGTTGTGAGTCAAGGACTATCTGTAAAGCAGACTGGGCCCTGCCATAACCCAACTGAGTCCACTAGAGATTATACCACATGTTTTAACAGGGTATTGTTGCATCAACCAGTAAAACAGTTCTTCCCAAATAGCAGCTGGTTTCAACATTTAAGCATGCATCTTCTGCCCTGGATAAACTGCCATGCCCAGATGTCTGAGTGGTGATGATTCATGTCCTCAGAAAGGAAATGAGAGGCTGTGTCCACAGAATATATTAAGCCAGTGATGGCGAACCTTTTAGAGACGCAGTGCCCAAACTGCAACCCAAAACCCACTTATTTATCACCGTGGCCGCACTGGTCATGGCAGACTGGGTGGGAGGGACCAGGGTGGCGGGGGCCAGCCCCTCGCCATCTCCGGGGCATGGCACGTGTGCCCACAGAGAGGGCTCTGAGTGCCGCCTCTGGCACGCGTGCCATAGGTTCGCCACCACTGTATTAAGCCATAATCTATCTGACCCCAAATGGTTGCACCCACGCAAATGCTCCCTTACAAAGTGGCTCCCTTACAAACTCAGAAGGTATCACCTAATGGCTCTAGGCCAGTGTTTCTCAACCTTGACAGTTTTAAGGCATGTGGACTTCAACTCCCAGAATTCCACAGCCAGCATTGCTGGCTGTGGAATTCTGGGAGTTGAAGTCCACATGCCTTAAAATTGTCAAGGTTGGGAAACACTGCTCTAGGCATTGTATAAACTTGGCACTCTGTTTTGATGCACTTACTGTTATAACTGTTCCATTGCAGAGCCTAAACTGGATCTCTGATCCACTGCAGGACCAACAGAGACACCGAAGCTCTGAACAACTGCTGATCATATCATTAGAGGACAGATCCAAACTTAGTTGGCAGTGGGTCTACAAAGCACAGTCTTTTCTCTCCATGGGCCAACCCCAGTCTCCCTACTACTGGAACTTGGAACCTGGCAACCGATATCCCAGCTACGATTTTAAGGATCCCATCCTAAACTGATCGAAAGCCCCGGGAGCTCTCATTCTGATCAAGCCCCGGCTTGGGATAGCGGCGACGGAGGTCTGAGTTTTCCTTCGCCAGTCCTCCTCGGCCTGCAGCGTCCAATTCCTCCCAGGTACCGAGAACCAGCCCAACAATCACTCCCAATAGTCCCGGGTCTCACCAGGTCCGTCAGAACGAGGCGAGGAGGCCGCGGACACGCAGCAGTGTCCATCATCCTCCAGGTCTCCGCGGTCCGTGCCCGAGTAGAGCCGGTGACGCTCGGCAGCCCCTGGCAGCGGAGGCGGCAACAAGGGCTCTTTTTCCAGGCTGGTTCCCTGCTCCATGAATCACAACGGAGTCAGCCTACTAGGCAGAAACAGCGCCTGCAGCTCCTCATCTAAGAAAGGCGGCCTGGCCGCTGAGCTTCCGCTCCCGCTTGTGATAAGCAGAAAAAAGGCACGGCTCCGCCCGCTACACGTGATGGGGGCGGGAGGAGGGGAAATAGAGCTTTGGGAGCGCTCTTCTGCTCGTGTGACCGCGGGTTGCGGTTTGAGGTTGGTGATCGTCGGTGGCGTGGTTGACTGTTCGCTAGGAACTATCTCTCCGTCTAGCAGTGTTCCAATATCTCAGGGGTTGCCATAAAGAAGAGGGAGTCAAGCTATTTTCCAAAGCGCCTGGAGGCAGGACAAGAAGCAACGGGTGGAAACTAATCAAGGAGAGAAGCAACCTAGAACTAAGGAGAAACTTCCTGACAGTGAGAACAATTAACCAGTGGAACAACCTGCCTCCAGAAGCGGTGAATGCTCCNTATTATTATTATTATTACTTCCCCTTCCCCAGCCTCAAAAAGGGTTGGAGGCCGAGAAATCCTTCCCGATGCAACAAGAGAATTAAACGGACTTTTTAAAAATGAAGCTTCTCTCTTCCCCGGAGCGCTCTGTTCATGGTCGGGTGGTCCGAACGCGACGCAGATTTATTTAACCCAGGGTGTAGAGCTGGCAGTTAAGGGTAGGTAGGAGGGCTACCTGAGTCCTGGTTCTCGCTCCTTGCCTTGAATTCTGTATTCTGTATTCTCTTCAGAATACAGAAAAGGACGGAACAAGAGTGTGTTTTATTTTAATTATTGATATAAAGCAGTAGAATTGCTAAACATGCAATAGAGAGAACATAGAATAATAGAGTTGGAAGGGACCTCGGACGTCTTCTAGTCCAACAACTGCTTGAACAGGAGACCTATACCATTTCAGACAAATGGCTGTCCAGGGTCTTCTTAAAAGTCTACAGTGATGGAACACCCACAACTTCTGACGGCACACCCTTCCACTGGTTAATTGTTCTCCCCTTTGGGAAATTTCTTAATTTTAGGTTGCTCTTTTCAATAATAATGATGATGATGATGATGATGTTGGAAGGGAGCTTGGAGGTCATCTAGTTCAACCCCCTGCTCAGGCAGGAAACCCTATACTATTTTGGACAAATGGCTGTCCAATCTCTTCTTAAAAACTTCCAGTGTTGGAGCATTCATCGCTTCTGGAGGCAGGTTCCACTGGTTAATTGTTCTGTCAGGAAATTTCTCCTTAGTTCGAGGTTGCTTCTCTCCTTGATTAGTTTCCATCCACTGCTTCTTGTCCTGCCTTCAGGTGCTTTGGAGAATAGTTTCACTCCCTCTTCTTTGTGGCAGCCCGAGATATTGGAAGACAGCTATCATGTCCCCCCTCATCCTTCTCTTCATTAAACTAGACATACCCAATTCCAGCAACTGTTCCTTATATGCTTTAGCCTCCAGTCCCCTAATCATCTTTGTTGCTCTACTCTGTACTCTTTCTAGAGTCTCAACATCTTTTTTACATCACGATGACCAAAACTGGATGCAGTATTCCAAGTGTGGCCTTACCAAGGCATTGTAAAGTGGTATTAACACTTCACGTGATCTTGGTTCTGTTCCATCCATTGTTTCTTGTCTTGTCTTTTGGTGCTTTGAAAAATAGGTTGACCCCCTCTTCTTTGAGGCAGCCCCTCAGATATTGAAGCACCTGCTATCATCTTGTCCTTCTTTTCATTAGACTAGACCAGGGGTAGGCAATGCTGGCTCTTTTATGACTTGTGGACTTCAACTCCCAGAATTCCTGAGTCAGCCTTGCTGACTCAGGAATTCTGGGAGTTGAAGTCCACAAGTCATAAAAGAGCCAACGTTGCCTACCCCTGGACTAGACATACCCAATTCCTCAACCGTCCTTCATATGCTTATGTTCCCCTAATCGTCTTTGTCGCTCTTCTTTGCACTCTTTCCAGAATCTCAATTCTGATTATTTCTTAGTCACACGGGGCAATTTTTCAATATTTCTTTTTTAAATCTGATTTGCATAGTGAATTATATTAGAGATGCATGGGTTGCATAGACTGAATGGTTCATTTTTTTCCCCAAGCACTCGTCGTCACAACATGGAAAAATATGGATAAATATTGTCACAATATGGATAAACATATCAGATCTGGATTAAGGAAGAACAATGAATATAATATAGATGCGATCGCTTTTGTAGCAGATATGTTCTCTACATTTAAATCCTTCTTTAGCCTTTACTCTCCAGATTTTTTAGATTGCAACTGCCAAAATTTCCACGCAATCTCATCACACCAAACTGAAGAAGTAAAACCAAGGTTATCAAAATATGATTAATTGTTTAAGATGAGTATGAGTCCTTCAATATTCAGCAAGAAACAGTAGGATTTCTACTTCTGCTCAGGCAGTTTATAATAGCAAGTGTTGTAAGGATTGTTAAAGATCAGTACATGATAACAGAGATTATGTGTAGTCTGCAGGATTAGTCTTTTACAGCAAAACCAGCAAAGAATGCTAAAAGCTAAGACATTTATGTGTATCTTGATTTGGTCATCCTTATACATGTGTAAGCTTAAGAAAAATCCTTTGGTAAACAGCTGGGTGCTGCTTTATCTGTGAGAACTGAGAGGCTATAGGTATCTTGACAGATAAGAAGGATAAAGGGTTCTCTAGTACCAAGTAATGGCAAGCAATTAATCCAACATGCAGAAATCAATGTTCTCTCTTTATCTTGAAGTCACAAAGTAAAGAAACAATCATGGCTGTATTAAAGAGAATAATTGTGTGAGTACACACAAACATGGGCATAGGCCAGTGATGGCGAACCTTTTAGAGACCGAGTGCCCAAAAACTGGCCCCGCACCCGCTCCACCCCCTTGCCCCGTCCCCGCTGTCCCCCCATCCCCCACCCCGCCTGCCCACAGGATCACTCACCGCCTCCAGGGCCCGCCGCAGATCGCCCAGGCAGCCAGGCAGCGCTATGGCAGCCACACCCTTTGCCTGCGCCCTGCAGCATCAACTGCATGATGGGGTGTGAGGGCAGAGTCTTGTCTACGCTGCCTGGCTGCCATGTCCTTGGCTGCGCTACTCTGTGTGAGCCTCGCTAGGGGGCGAGTCTCCTTCAGGGGGGCTGCTGGAGAGAAGGGGGTCGGGGGAGGCAAGGCTGGGGCAACGGCACGTGTGCCCACAGAGAGGGGTCCAAGTGCCGCCTCTGGCACCCGTGCCGTAGGTTTGCCAACACTGGCATAGGCTGTAACCACATGGCATCTTAAACCGCAAATTTACTACATTTTAGCCTCGTATTATGTAGACCACCCAATGTGATCAGTTTATGATTTGACCTATTATACAAAACCAGAAAACTGGGTTGAGTAAACCACGATTCACCATGACTAATCATATTATGCAAATATTATAGACTCAGGGTGGTTCTTTCTGGAAGACTCTTAGACTTGCCAGCCAAAAGAGATTCTGCAACTCTTCAGTCTTCTATTCCTTAATGTAAGAAATACTATGGAAAATCCAAAATAGAGACACCATCATGCTTTTTATCATGGATAAATGAGGCCAAATTATTACATAATACAAGACTAAATCTGGAAGCATCAATGAAGATTCTCAAATCCATTCGGGAACCCCACTATCATGAGAAGCAAAGTGGTCTTTGTTACTTTTCTTTTTTTTCCAAGTGGTCTACTGACAAATCCCACTTCAAACATTGCTTCTCACTCCAAAGCCAATGTTCTTAAGCAAACAAAGGAACTGGTTGAAGCAAGATCAGGTTTTAATTGCTCAGTACTCAAAAGTAAGCAAAATCAAAGGTAATCAAGTAAATATTCTTTGAAAATAACTAGAATCAAGGTAAGAGCTGAATATATTAGGTCTGTCTACATAACTATTCAGTGATTTAGCATATTGATTTAGGCAAACCTCACGTTTTATGATTTCTATCCAAAATTCTGAAGGTCTTTTGCAACATGTCATATGCCCATAGTTTGCATCATAAAAATCAGCAGACCTGAGAATGGTTTTAAATTATCTTGTGCTTAGGCTGCAATCTTCTATTTACCTACTAAGAAATAAGAACAATGAACATAGTGGCTCTATCTATATAGACATACAGAGAATTGGGTTTACCAGCTATTTTTGGACAATTATTAATATACCAATTTACTTAAATGTAGTAGAAACAAAATATCAACTGCAGCTGATATTTTTAAATTTTTCCAAATAGTTTATTTCTTAATTTGTACAGTTGTGATACTGTTCATGTTCTGGAAAGTCAAAGCATTGCACAACGTTTCAGTCACGGTCCCATAGTTTTTCGTCCATGCACAGACTTGGAATTTTGAGAGAATGTCATGAACATTCTCAAAATGGATGCTGTGATTACTGAACCTAGCCAGTTAACTAAAGAAAAATTGTAGATGATGTGTTCAATCATAATCAGTACATGTCAAAGCTTTGATAAATAGCATGAAGATATATTCCACCAGAGATCACCACATGAGTAAAAGCCACCTCTACCAGCATGGGATCATACTATTGTTGAATTAAATCATTATTTTACAAGTGAAGTCAAATCAACAAAGCTTATAAGAAAAACACCCTCAATCTTGATGAAGTAGTATATTTTAGGTCAACTCAAAGTTATACATATAGAAGTTTATGAATGTCTATAACCAACACATAAAGAAAACATGTTTAAAGACATGAATAAAAAAATCAAACATCTCTTATAAACAACCCAGTTTTTCAACAATTAATTAGAACCAGGTTTTTGTTGTTTTTAAACTATTTAGTTTTAAAGTTTTGTTATGGTTTTTGTAGTTTTGATCTCATTATTATCAGACCAGCAATACCATACCTACACCTTGAAACACAAAATAAATTTTAAAGTTCTACATGTTTCATTTGTATTTTACATGTTTGTTTTAATAGTATATATTATTATAATTACATCTATTCTTTTTAACGATCTAAGCTGTTTTAGGAATGAGT